AGTTCCAGAGAATTAATTTAAGTGATTTTTATTACTTTTTTAAAATAAAAAGAACTACTAAAATCATTATTTTATATGAATGATACTGTTGCTATTGAATCATTACAATTATCTCAATAATTTCACGACTATCCACAACATATAGACAATGGCTTTATTCCACTTTCAGAAAATGGAAAAGAACAATCAGGGAATGTGATTAACATGAGTTTGAAGTGGTAATGACTGGGGGATTTTTGAAATAATAATTGAAGGACAACCTCAAGTCATACACATAATAAAAGGTTAGTCTGATGGAAAAAAGTATTCACTGAGAGTTCATGGACAACTTAGAGAGTACGTAGTTTATTTTAATGATAACAACTTCCAGAAAAGTGGAAATGATTTGATTACGACAATTTAGACCAAACGAAGGTATAGAAATTGAATTTGTCATTCTTTAGTTCTTTTTGACTCCACTAGACTAAACATTAAAAAAAAGATTGAAGGTAATTATGAAGAGCTAGTTTTTAAAGGATATGGATTACCATCAAAGAGTGAATATGTAGTTGGTAATTTAATTGTGAAAATAGTTGTTGTGGATTAAAGTCAAGAAAGATTATTTAAAGTTTATTTAAATTAATAAATTAGTTTAAAATAGTTTCAAGAAAAAACCAAAAGATTTAAACTTGAAAAGAAGACTGAGAAGTATCAGATTAAGTTATGTCAGGATATATGCCAATTATTGGTTATGACCAACTCGGGAGACCAATGTATGGAACAACTGTTCCTGCATGTTGTCCAACTGTTCCTGTGGTTACTACTACCGTACCAGTTTATCCACCTGGATGTATTGTACCAGCTGATCCTTATCAAGTAATGTATCCAACTGGTTATACACCAGCAAATTATTATGGAGGATTCTAAGGTGTTATTCATTAGTAAATGAAAAGTTGTTTTAGATAATTTATTCATTGTTTTTGGTTAGTGTTGTGTTGTATAATTTAAATGGATCTTTGTTAAATTCAGCATTGTATCTTTTTTGTATCTTTTTGACGTATCATTTTTTTTATCAATTGGTTTGTTATTTATATAATTTTAATTTTGGATGGTGGAAGGATATTTAAACTCAAAAACCATGATTTGTTGTTAAAAGAGTTTTGGATCTACTTAAAACTGTATAAGAGAAACAATCATTGTAAGAGAAACAATCTTGTTTGAATATTTTGTTATGTGAATAAAAGCAAACTCTTAAAGAAAGTATTGAAATTAATATTTTTTGTGTTTCCTAAGTGTTTCTTATTAATATTAAATTGAATATTTTTGTTAAGAAGTATATAATTAAATAGGAATAATGAATAGATGTTAATAATAATACTACATAGATATGTTAAGTTTAAAGATGAAAATTGAAACATTAATAAAAACTTATGTCATAAATTTTGTTTATGTTCAATCTTCAAAAAAGATAGAGCAAAATATAAACAAACCATTTTTTGTTAATTAACTTTTTACCATTTTCTTTGTGGTGTTCCTCGAGTATTTTTCATTGAACTTCCTCCTCTATTTGCTCGTGCTGCAATAGCAGCCATTAAAGGGTTTGTTGGATAATGTGGAGTTGTTGGACTTTGTTGTTCTTTAGAAATCATTGGTCTAGAACGATCATTTACAGTGGTCTTTTTTAATTTTTTTCCTCTCTGGATTTGTGAAAGTAAGTCTCCTCTTCCTGACGTAGAAATACTTGAAACACTTGGTACCTTTGAATTGTCAATAGGAGGAGGAGGTGGTGGTTGTACACACGCCTGAGGTGATTGAGGAACATTAAAAGTGGAGACTGGAGCAACATTCTTTTCTCGGGGGTGTTTAATTTCTTGAGGATTTGAGTTTGTTAATGATTTACAAGTGTTTAGCTCTTCCTTTATAGAAGCAATATTTGAGTTAGTAGTTCTTACTTGGTTTTTTAATTCTTTGTAACTTTCTTTAACTTCATCAACTATGTTATTTATTTCTCCAAGCTTCTTCTTCATATCTAAAATAATTTTTCTGTTTTCTTCACATCCACAAGACTTTTGAAGTGAAGACATATTTGGGGATGTAATTCCTTTTGACTCATTTATTTTATCAGACATTTTTCTAATTACATTAGCCATTACCTCTATTTTATTTTGTGTTTCTTGTTGTACCTTTTTTATTGTGTCAACTTCTTTGATAACAACTTGAAGGGTTTTAACAAGATTAGCTTGTTTTTTGTTATCTTCTTCTTGTACCTCTTTTATTTGAGAAGATATAAATTTAAATAAGTTGATCATCGAGATTTTAAGTTGTCTTCCATTCACGTTTGTATCATTATTTATTTGAAGATTTTCTAAAACTTGTTGAATGGACATAATGACAAGTCTGATATTTTCAGTTCGTACTAATAAATTTTTTAATGGGTAGAATCTTAAAAAGTATTTATTAAGAAGGTTCCACGTCATTAGCTATTCATTTAATGGAGTATTAAGTTGAAGAGAAGATTAAGAAAAAAAAAAAAAAAAAAAAAAAAAAA